CGCCTCTAATATCCTGGCCATTAATTTCGCTTTATTCCCTGACGTTGGTAACTTCGTCCTCTTAAGTATCTCTTTCAACTCGAAAATTGTGAATTCGTTCAACGGCTTATGATCAATCTTGGTTATGATCCCACTTCTGAATAATTGTAGGAATTTCCTTGCGGTAGAACGTCAATAATAGACTCAGGCAGTAAAGATACGAACTATATTTCAATACAATTGAGGAAACTGGTCTACTTCTCTTCCACATAAGTCAGTCTTAACAAAAGTGCCGCATACACATTCGCAACGCAATCGACAGCTCCTCTCACGACGTCATGTCTTCTTCCTGCGCAATCGGTAAGACGCTGCTACTGCGCATCTTGAACAACGCCGCCGTGTACTAATCAACGCGCAACATTCAAATAAAATAATCTCACAGGTGCGTGTAATTTAGCTGCTCCTCCAGGCTCCACGGAGGCCCCAGTCGATCGCAAAGGGCTTGCATGCACGTTATATAATCGGCGACCGGTTCACAATCCCACTGCATGCGCTGCCAAATCTCGTCGCGCAGGGCAAATTGAAATTCCGGGTTTGCGAAGCGCGCTCGCCACGCGACTTCGAATTCGTCCCATCTTCGATACGACCCGCCCCGCGTTCGAAACCAATACAGCGCTGTTCCCATTAAAAAGAAAGGCAAGCACCTCAAAAGATCTTCGTCCGATACGGGGAACAACGCGGGACTCTCCCTTAAGCCCATTCTACATAAGACGCAGAACGCAGGTTGCAGGTCGCAAGGGAAACGTATTTCAGATTGTAATAGATCGCAGACCGCAATATGTAGGACGCAAGATGCAGGACGCGAAAGTTGACCAACTTTCTGCGTCCTGCGTTCTGCGTCCTATAATCATATTATAATTAAAATACGTTAGGTTAGTTTCTAGTTTTGCGACCTGCGATCCGTGTTCTGCGTCTTATGTAGAATGGGCTTTACGCGCATCAAGAATGCTTCCGCGTCATCTCCGCAAACGCCCGAGAACGTCACGTTCCACTTACGGAACGCCTGCGATATGTCGCGCACCTGGCTTCGCGGGTACGTGATCGCGTTCCCTCATCACATATCCAAAGCGGGGGCGAAGGGACGCGATTCCCTGGCCTTTCCCTCCGGCCCGCACGAGGCCCCCCGGCCTCCGCGGTACGCGGAACCGGGCTATCCGGACTTATCGGTGTAGGAGGGCGCAAATGTCCCGCCGCGACATCCTCCGCACTCGACCTGCTCGTATCGTGATCCACCGGGATCTCTAATTCGTAGCGAAGCAATCGGTCATATAGCGTGGGGGTATTCCCCTCAGCGTCTAGTCCCCGCTGTTCGAGAGCTTCCTTCAAGCCCTCCGTCGACAGCTGGAATATCCATGCAAATCGCGTCGGTCCCTCTGTCATCGCGACGTACACGCGAAACCACGCCAATAAAGTAACAAGATTCTCGGCTAAAAATAAAGAAATTCTCCACAGTCGGTAGCAATCGCGATTCTTCTCGACAGCCGCTCCTAGATCGATCGCGAAACGAAAGATACACGTGCCTGCTGCAAACTCTCCCCTCTACGCTACTTCCGAGGACTCTCTCTCTCTCTTTGAAACGATCTGTATTTCTCCGAGTTGACAACCGCTCAACGCTAAATTTTGAAATTCTCAATGTCGCGGAACAACAACATACGAGTCGACCAAACTTTCGTTATCAAGACACAAAGAGATCCCAACGACCAAAAAATATTTTCGCAACACGAATGTACACGTATGAACAACAACCGACACCACTGGCGGCGTGAGATCGGCACGCAGCGTGTAACAACAACTGAGACAACACACACAACCTTCCTCAAGTACACGAAAATTTTCGTAAATGAATATTATTCACACAATACGCCGAAACTTCAAAGTTACTCGCGATAATTCTAACTCTCTAATGTCGCGACACGCACAACAAACATAGCTGAAAATAAAGAATTAATTCGCTCACGTGTAACGGCCAAATCTAACATGTAACATATAATTGTCCTGCTCTCTCTCGCTCTCTGGACCAACAAAAAGTTTTCTAGCTCTTTCAATCGGGGCCCCGTACGTTGGGCGCCAAATTTGTAACAGTACTCGCGAGCAACGGCACAACTTCGTCGCGTGTTCTTCGTTCTCCTCTTACGCAAAAGTGTCAATTTCCTCTCGGTAACCAAATTTTGCGACAGCTAGGCGGATGGTCGGCCAAGATCGTAATTTTTATTACAAAGTTGGGGGCCAGGCACGAGAGAGCGTGCCCCTCTTTCCGAAATCTCCTTACTTTTGTCCGTAACCAATTCGCGAGGGCAGGGGTGAGTCGCAAGAGGTGTGGGAAATTTGTCGGAGGGCGAGAGAGATAGGCTACAAGAATAACACGCAAGGATGTAATAATAAAAACAAGTATATTTAGAAAAATATGGTAAAGTGGGACCCTCTAATTACATTGGTGACGTAATTGCCAATAATTTCCGGAGCTTCGCCCCTCCGCTCTACTCGATACTCTCGGTACTCGCACAGAGAGCCGCTAACTTCTAACGCCGGACGCCGGTCATAAGCTACAGCACGAGCCCCGACCTTCCCCGCGGTATCTTCTGACGGTGTCAGACGCCCGCCCCTCGACAACCGGCAAGAACTCGTACCCGCTGTACTACCAGACTTCCGGACGTGTAACGCCGGCCCGCGGCCGACGCCACGGCGATGGTGCGATGCGAGTATAGCGAGCGCCTCTTTGCGACACGTCTCTACTCGAAAACGCGAATCCCGGAAACGGACTCTACTCGGTAACAACGGAAGTTAACTCGGCAACGCAACAATACGCGTTCCGATGTGACAGTACAATGCTCGGTGACACAATTACCGTGAGCGTCTGACGCGACGAGATACTAAACGAGCGCGACTCGGCCCTCGATCCTCTCCGAACGACTCGAATTTACCTCCACTCAGCAATGAATATTTTTCTCTTTACTGTAACTCTCGAAATGCGACTGCTAATTACTTCCAAGACTCGGAAGGATGGCACGTGGCTCGCGGGTCCGCGGCTCTACACGGCGGCCATTACGCCGATCTATCGTCACGATGCGAGCTGGCTTACGTGCGATCCACCCGGCGACCTATCCCGGTCGGCAGCGTACAAGCGCAACGCTCGTTTCGCCCTCGTCGTCTTCTCACGTCACTTCCTCTCAATACGCTTTCGTCCCCTCGGTCTCGGGCTTCTCGGCTGCGAACTCGCACTTCCCTCACAAGTCTCACGGCTCGCTCGTCCACAGAAAGAGTGAGGCCCGGAAGCTCCCGGCGGATTCTCGCAGGCTGCTTAGCTTTCCCACTCCTTCGGGGGGAGGTAGTCGCGCTGATTGGCTTCCGCGTATCACGGTTCGCCGTGCAGGTCCGCGCGACCTTGAGTCCTGGCTCGTACGAGCGCGCAATAGATGTCCCTGTCAAGTGTGGTGTCTCTGCTCACAGCCCCCGCACTTCCTGGCCTAGCGGAGGAGATCGGGATGGATTTTCCTCTCGCTCCCCGTCGGAGCCCTATGCTCCCGACGGACGTCCGTCCGGCCCCTCAAGGTCGGGAATTCTGGCCCCCTCCGGTGCTCTGCAATGGGTGTATGGTGAAAGTATTGTTCCTTTTGTGTGCGACAGCAGTTACGAGCAATGATATAAAATAATACAACCTGCTTATCCGAGCTCCCGTAAGTGCGTCCTTCTCTTTTAGCTTCTTCGACCTTCCTTCCAATCCTATCCTTCTTCTGTCTTCCTTCCAAGGGGGGCCGGCGAGACGGTACGATGATACAATGAAATTTCACAACAGCTGCCGAGTGTGATCCGTGGCGCGTCTGCGCTTTCTGATACGCTTTATCATTACGCAAAAGAAATGCTAACACAAGAAGAGGAAACTCTGTAGAGTAAAATAAATGACGTGAGTTTTAACGCACGTTCGCAGGTGTGCTTGCACGCGCGCTCGCTTGTGCACTCGCGCTCGCGTGCGCACTCGCCTGCGCGATCGCCCTTCGAGCCGGTTGGAAGCGCGAGTCCGCCGTCGACAATTTCGCACAGTGATGGACAAAATGTCACGTCACAATTTATAATATTGTTATTTTGAATAGTGTACTCATATGAACTACTGTAAATATTGATTATTTTTAATAATGACTATAAAAATGCACTATTTATCAATTATTGGAGAAATTATGGCTTATGGCCATCTTTTCCGTATGGCCATAATACCCTAGTTTACCCTATCATAATAAATTAGGCGCAATCTATGTTCGAGGTCGAATTTCTGCCAAACGGAACGAGCACCTAATTCGACGACTAGATATCCTTAAATAATATTAAGAACAAACATTTTGACACCAAATTTGTTGGAGCACCTAATTTTTTAAGGCAACTTCTCTCTTATGAGCCGACTGTTCGACTGACGCTTAATTTCTGTATATAATTCTGTATACGATATGTATTTTCGAATTATTTTGGTCGTTCCTTGGAGTACCTAATTAGCATCTAATTCTAGTGTATTTGTTTTGTTTAGTTACGCAATAATTATCTTTTTTTTATTGGGGTCGCTAACTTAATATTAAGCTAGCCACCCAAAAAAAATTTTTTTTTCTGCCAAACGGTTCGAGCACCTAATTTCGTACTTCAGCACCTAATTAGCATCTAATTAGCACTTAATTTTGGTATGTGTTAGTGTTGGGGCCCTTGGGGGCCCACGCGCGTTGGTCGCCCTGCAGGCGCACGCGCAGAAGACGACGCAAGCGAGGTTGCCGGAGACACACGTGGCCAGACAGACTTCTTCCTACTGTTACGCCTATTACAAGACTCTTTGTATAATAAACTATCGTTTTACGCATATTCAGTAAACCTATCATTAGGAATACATATCCTGAGAACAAAGCACACCCAAAGGACACAACAATTGGCGCTGCGGACTCGAGACTCAAGTTTGAGGTTAGACGAACCACGGGCATGATCTCAGGATGGAACAGCTATTAACTGCGTTAACTCAAAGTCAACAGCAGCTTGCTCAGAGCCAGCAGATTCTCATGCAACAGTTAGCTGATTCGCAGAAACACATGGTAACGCTTTTGCAGCAAACGCAAGGTAACCTCACTTCTACTTCTTCGCAATCAACGGTTTTGGACAGCGTTGTTTCCGCCCCTCTGGCTAAATCTTCTCAATTCTCAAACCTTGCTGAGCGTTTGGGCAAATTTATTCACGAGCCGGATAAGGGAAAAACCTTTACGTTGTGGTACGAACGCCACGAGGGCACCTTTACGGATGGTGCAAAAGGTTTAATCGAAGAGGAACGTAAGCAGTTACTTCTTAACGCCTTGGGCGATGATGAATACCAACGTTTATTAAGCCGTTTGTCGCCTGTAAAGCCATACGATTTGAATTTCTCTGACCTTGTGAAGCAGCTGAAAAAGCAATTTCATGACAACAAGTCGCTTTTTCAACGCCGTTTCGAAGCGCTTAATTTTCGGGCAACGCCGCCTATGGCGGTAATCGATATTCTTGATCGAATAAGCATTCTGGGAGATGCTTTCGAAATTAATAATTTCAATATAGACCAGCTCAAAATTTTGCTTACTGCAATTGCACTTAGCGATCATGCTTATCACACTGAACGTGCCCTCTTGTTTAAAATTACAGCGGAAAAAGAAAATTGCACTTATAGTGATATTAGAGAAATCTGTTACGCCCATGTAGTACGTTCTGCGGATGTAAAACGCGTCGAGGACCAATAGCAACGAGGTTAATGCCGTACAAAAATGGTCCGGAACTAAAAGTACAAACAAGGAAGCCAAGCGTCGCACCAAGCAGCCTTTGAAGAAAGTAACATCTTCGCAATGTCACGGCTGTGGCCTTACGACACATCCAAGAGAAGACTGTCCGTTTAAGAAAGCGGACTGTAGAATTTGCAAAAAGACTGGCCATATTGCAAAAGTCTGTCGCTCTAAAGGTAAGAAGAAAATTGAATCAATTTATCTGAAAAATGTTTCAGGAGCTTCTCTCAAGCATCGTAAATACGTCGAAATTTTGCTAAACGGTAAAAAGATAAAAATGCAACTGGATACTGGCGCGGACATAACAACAATCGGAACAAAGGTATAGACTAAATTAGGATGCCCTACGCTGCAACTGTACAAATCTTCTTGTGTAAGCGTCTCAGGGCAAAGGATTAAGACAGAAGGAACCTTTCACGCGACGTGTTCTTACAACGGAAATTCCACCAAGGCTTCTGTCATTGTTTTAAGTCGTCCTAATACAGCACTCATTAGTGCACAAGTTATTGATGAACTCAAATTAGTAAAATACGACGAGGGAGTCACGGGTGCTGACTGCATGATAAATGAGATAAAGAATACATCGTTGCTTAATAAATATCCAAGTCTCTTCAGTGATAAATTAGGAGAATGCACTAAGTCAAGCGTTAAGCTACGCTTTAAGCCGGATGCTCATCCTACTCACGCGCCACGACGTCCAGTGCCGCTAGCGCTAGAGGAACAGCTCAGTGTCGAACTTGATCGACTAGTGGAAAACGCGATCTTGACACCCGTGGATACATCAGAATGGGCAGCCCCCATTGTCGTTGCAAGGAAACCTAACGGAAAAATTCGTATTTGCGCTGATTATTCCACGGGATTGAACAATGCTTTAGATGCAGATGACTACCCTATTCCAAATATAGAGGATATTTTGGCAAAGCTTCAGGGAAATACCATTTTCACACAACTGGATCTGTCGGATGCATACTTTCAATTAAAATTGGACGAAGAAAGTAAACCCTTGACTACTATCAATACACATCGAGGATTGTTCATGTTTAATAGGCTGGTTTTTGGTCTGAAGCCAGCCCCAGCAATTTTTCAACGCACCTTAGAGCAAGCTCTTGCTGGTATCCCAGGCGTTGTGGTTTACCTCGATGATATCCTCATTTGTGGTCGAAATCGGGAAGAACATGACATGCGTCTTAACGAGATTTTGAATCGTCTCCAAGAGTGGGGATTCAGACTAGGCATTGGAAAATGCAAGTTTCATATATCCTCAGTAAAGTATTTAGGCTTTGTAATTTCTAGTAAAGGTATTGAACCAGATCCAGCACGTATCAAACCAATATGTTCTATGAGAGAACCTAATAATACAAAGGAAGTGAGAGCGATTCTTGGATTGGTAAATTATTACGGAAAGTTCGTTCCTAATCTACATCGTTTAAAGGCTCCTTTAGAACTCTTATTAAAAAAGGACGCCCCTTTTGTCTGGAATTCGGCATGCAAGAAAGCTTTTCTTAAGATTAAGGAAGTGTTAACCGGTCCACTTATACTTGCACATTTCGATCCTCAACAGTCATTAATTGTTGCTGCGGATGCAAGTCCAACAGGTATCGGCGGTGTTCTGCTTCAACGCTACGCGGATGGACAAGTAAAGGCTGTTTTCCACATGTCAAAGGCTTTGACTAAAACGCAACAAGGTTATAGTCAAATTGAAAAAGAAGCTTTGGCATTAGTTACTGCCGTTGAGCGTTTTAGAAAATTTTTATATGGCCGACATTTTATACTCCAAACAGACCATCGACCTCTTCTGGTTCTGTTCCGCTCGTTTAAGACAAAGGGATTAGATACTCGCACGGCAAACCGCTTGAAGCGATGGGCACTCCGCCTTATTGGCTATGATTTTGATATAGAATATGTCAAATCTGAGCATTTTGGTCAAGCAGACGCCTTGTCCAGACTTATTCAAGAAGCCAAAGTAGGTTCCACCGATCCGGAATTGGAAGAAGTTATTGCTTCGCTACAGGAAATAGAAACGGAACTTCAACAGTTGATTCTAGAATCAGGTCGTTTTCTGCCTAAGACAACTCGTGAAGAGCTGCAACGAGCTACATACAAGGACGGAATTCTGGCCGAGGTTATCGATCGCCTACAGACGGATTGGCTACGTTCTGACGCTAAAGACAGTGACTTACTTCCGTATTATCGCCGTCGCGACTACTTATCTGTTGTGGACAGGACACTCGTGTCGGATGACAAGATTGTTATACCACATAGTCTTCGACCGGATGTGCTCCGACAATTACATATAGCACACCCAGGTATTCGTCGCATGGTTCAGTTGGCCCGACGTTATTTCTATTGGCCGGCCATGCAAGCTGATATTGAAAAGTTTGTCAAGTGCTGCAAACATTGCGCGGAGACTGCATCAAATCCTATCAAGGAACCACTTCACCCATGGCCCGAATCCAAATCGTCGTGGGACCGAATTCACATGGATTTTGCTGGCCCAATACAAGGACATTGGTTCCTTGTTATCGTTGATAGCTACTCTAGATTCGTAGATGCCGAGTGGTTTTCAACAATTACCGCAACTGCTACTTGTAAATATCTACGCCGATTATTCTTCAAGTATGGTCCACCCAAAGTGGTTGTATCTGATAATGGCACGCAATTCACGGCAATTGAGTTCGCTCAACTCTGCACAGAGTTCAATATAATACATTTACGCAGTCCTCCAGGACACCCTCAGTCAAATGGTTTAGCGGAGCGAATGGTAAATACTTTAAAGCGTTCTTTGGAGTTACAGGTTCCATCGAAAAGGGAAACAAAGATGAACCAAATCTTGTACACGTATAATTATACACCATGCGAAGCAGCTCCTGACGGTAAATCCCCAGCTGAGATTTTTTTTGGACGCAAGTTTAGAACTCCCTTGGACATTTTCACCGTTACAGAAAAGCCCAGACCAATTTTGTCTCATTCGCAGAGGAAAATGAAGAAACATTTTGATACCCATCACGGTGCAAAGACTCGCCGTTTCTTTCCGGGACAGCAGGTGTTGGTTCAACTCTCCAACGGTCGCCGAGTTCCTGGGAAGATAGTCAACATTATTGGATCGACGATTGCTCGTATCAAGGTTGACAATGGCCTTATAAAGCGGCACTTTAATCAAATCTGGAATCGGACGGTTTCCCCTTCCGAGAGGACTGATAGTGACGCCGAGGGCCTACTTCCAACGATGCAAAATCCAACAGCGGATCCCCCTCCTTGTCAACTTCCGTTCGAGGGGGCTAATTTCGCCAGCAATGTAGACCCTCCAGCCCAAGTCAGGGAGGAACCAACAGTTCGGCGTTCAAGTCGTCTAGCAGGAGACGCCCGCCCGGATTATCGGAAGCTAGCTGGGTTCCGCCCCTAGGAGAAGCACTCCGCTTAGTAGGAGAGGAGTGTTGGGGCCCTTGGGGGCCCACGCGCGTTGGTCGCCCTGCAGGCGCACGCGCAGAAGACGACGCAAGCGAGGTTGCCGGAGACACACGTGGCCAGACAGACTTCTTCCTACTGTTACGCCTATTACAAGACTCTTTGTATAATAAACTATCGTTTTACGCATATTCAGTAAACCTATCATTAGGAATACATATCCTGAGAACAAAGCATACCCAAAGGACACAACAGTTAGAATTCATTTATCGCTGGTTGGGGGACTAGCTTAACAGGGGTCACAGTATAAGGATATACAGTAGGGGCAAGTAAATCTGCGCGGTTAAACTGAAAACGCAACATATACAAATGTGTACAATTATTGATAAGTATGTACATATATGATATTCTTGCTATCTTATATATTATTTAATTACATATAGTAAAAAATCATTACTTAAAGTTATGAACATGAGATATCGAAGTTATTTTTCTGCGTTCTTCCTGCAGTCTAGTCAAGCCCTTACAATCTTACAACTTGAAATGGCACTTCAGCTTTAGCACTGAAAATCTTGGCGTGTTCTTTTGAACTTGCACTATTCAGTGCAACCCATGAAACTCGTCCAATGTTGGTGTGAACTGAGTGCGCACTGGTGCGCACTAACTTTTTCTCAATCGAAAACGTTATTAGATAACGTATGTGAGACTTGTCATAAAGCTAAACAAACAAGAATACCTTTCGGTGAGAAGAGAACGAGAGCGAAGAGACCTTTTGAAATAATCCATACGGACGTGTGTGGTCCAGTGGATCCTACTATTTGGGATAAGAAGAAATGTATGATAACTTTCAAAGATGATTACACACATTTTGTCATGGTCTATCTAATTGAAGGAAAATACAAAGTAGCTGATATGGTAAAAAAATATGCAAATCAGGTGGAAACAAAATGAAATCTAAAAATTGCAAAACTAAGATGCGACAATGGACATGAGTACGTCAACGAAGGTTTTAAAACCTGGTGCAGACAAAGAGGAACAACTTTAGATATTACAACATCATATACCCCACAACTCAACGGAAAGGCAGAACATATGAACAGAACATTAATTGAAAAAACGAGAGCCTTACTCATAGATGCTGGAATAGTTGAAAGTTTCTGGGGGGAAGCAGTTCGTACAGCCTCATATTTAACAAATAGAAGCCCTACTGAAGCAATTCAAGAAACATCGGTTGAAAGTTGGACTTCACAAAGGCCAGATCTATCGAGACTATATATTTTTGGTTCTATCGCTTATACAAAGATATTGACACCATTAAAAAAATTAGATGATAGATGCAGAAAATACATTTTCGTCGGTTATGCTCCAAACGGATATCGATTATATGATCAAGAAAGAAGAAAAGCAATAATTTCAAAGAATGTAAAATGTACTGAAGAAAATAAATCAGAAAATAAATTAGTTAGAATAAATATAAATACAGAAGAAGAAAAAATTGAAAAATTAAACGGGGAACAAGAGGAAATCGAAAACGACTTGAAGAACGTGTCTAGAAACGAAAAAATCTTCTCTGAACAGCACCAAGATGTAGTTACAGATTCAAAGACTGAAGAAGAAAACGTACAAGAAGAACAAAAAAGGAAGAAGAACTAAAAGAACTTGGTCGTGGAAAACGGATAAAGAAGATTCCAAATAAATTTAAAGACTGCGTACTATTAACATATCAAGGAGCTACGACAGGACCAGATAGAGAAAATTGAAGAAAAGCAATAGAAGAAAAAAATTTGCTAGAAGAAAATAATACTTAGAAAATTGTAGACAGAACTGAAGCAAAGAACGAGAAAAACCCGAGCAACAAATAGGTCTTCAAGATAAAGGATAACGGAAAATATAAAGCACGGTTGGTGGTAAGGGGATGCAAACAACTTCATGGAATAGATTTTGAGGAAACATTTAGTCCAGTAGTGAATAGTAGCTCTCTGAGGATACTACTTGTAATCGCTACAAAAACAGGAGACTTATTGTAAAATTTGATATAAAAATTGAATTGCTCTACTGAAATCTAGATAAAGAGATCTTTACGAAGTTCCCTGAAGGATATGATGGCGACAATAAAATATGTAAACTTAACAAGGCTTTGTACGGATTTAAACAAGCTTCATTAAAGTGGAATCAGCGCTTCATCATCTTTCTTAAAACCAAGGGATTAAAATCAACTAAGACAGAACCGTGTATATACAAAACTGAGGATAATTCACTGATATTGGCAATCTACGTGGACGACGGACTTATTACAGGGCAAAATAGACAGATTACAGACGAACTATTGAGTGACTTAGGTAAGGAATTTCAAATAAGCATATGTAAAAGTATAAAATCTTTTTTAGGTATAGAAATATTATACAACAAGGAAAAGATCTCAAATTAACGCAATCAAGTTATGCAGAACATGTAGTCAAGATGTTCAATATGGAAAACTCAAAACCTGTAAATACTCCTATATTGATCAATGATGACGGAAGCGAGGAAATCAACAAGGTTTTTCCATATCGAGAAAACGTTGGAAGCATCTTGTATTTAACCTGCAAAACAAGATCTGATGTGGCCTAAGTCATAGGATATGCAAGTAGACATTTAGATAAACCGACTAAACAAGATGTAGCAAATATAATGTTACGTCCTGCAGACGCAGATTCTTTTCTTTCGAGAGAATCGGCTCCGCCGCAACTACGATTGGCGCCTGCAAGACGCGAGCAGGGGTCCCCTTATAAAAATTGAATAACAGACCACCCAAGCTTCGCGAAAAACTCGTAAACGTCAATCAACCCGGAAAAATAACAACACTAACGCAGGCCTAAAAGGGACAAGATTGCGAAAAATATCACAAACGGACCTAAGTCACGCGATGATAAAAATTCAAGCTATTGTCCGAATTGTTGACCAACAATTCCACCTTCAGAAAAACAGGCGCCGCGTCGTCACAAAAACCATAAAAACATGAGATAACGTTTCATAGCTGTTTACTTAGCCATATTTTCCGCGAGGATGACGGAATTGATCACTCGCTTAAAGCAATCTTGCCCCTTTTTAGAGAAAACATAAATCATTCCTTTTATTCTCTAAACCTCTTTTAACAGTGTACTTTAGATTAACAACAATAGTATATCTTAAAAATCGTAAATCTCGCGCGACATTGCAACTAACTATTGCATCCTAGACAAAGGGCACTACGCCCTTTTTTCGGGGTATAAATAGAGGCCCCGCGGAAGCGTAGAGTCTCAGAAAAATCTTAACAGTTGCCGAATCCACGTCGCTAGTTCACAATAGATACAGTTTAATAGTAACCGTCGGAAGTGCGCGGTAATTCCAAGTAGTCACGTCGGAAGTTATAAAGCAGTCAAATCCACGCAAGGTTCGCGAAAGTTCAACTCGCGCAACCCATTATTTGACTGGTCCGGTGACCTCTGAAGTTATAGAGGGCAGACACCCGCCACTGCTATCCTTGGCTGGGCTTACGTGGACGCTGGGAACCGACTCACTCGACCATAATCAGCATCACCAGTAAGTCTACAATTGCATGTCACCTTCCCCCACCCCCCTTTTTGTACTAGCGCGCACGCGACCAAAAATACATACATATATGTATATATATATATAAATAGTTCAACTATTTACTCAATTATAGTGCGGTCTCAATCGAACAAGAACAAACGTGGACGAACTCCCTATCTCCGCCGGAGTTCGCGGAACCGTCCGGTACCTAACGATCCAATACCGGTAGAGCCGACCTGCAGCCGCCCTACCGTGATCGTAATGCCGCGGTCACCCGAAAGGGTATCTCCATTAACACCACTAGCTCTCGGCGACCCGATCAACTATACACCTGTGTCGTACTCGCCCACACCAACACTCACAGAACCGCTCGACCTCCAATCCTCGACCCTGGCGTCCTCGAGATCCTCGATTACTCTCCCCCGCCCTTCGAGGAACGATTCCTTCCTTCTCCTTCCCTTCTTGACCAGCTCCCAACTCACCCTTCCTCCTTTAATCAGCTCCCAACTTTCCCTCCTGTCCACCCCGATCCTCAATCTGCCGATTGGGATTGGATCGTCCAGTTGTTCGCATCCACCTCCAACGAAAGGGACAGACTGATCACAGTTTACGTCCCTGGAAATTCCTCCCCTTTCCTCGTCCAGTTGAGACACCTAATCCCTGTTTGTCCATGGACTTCCTTCCTTGCCACCAACACTCAATAATCACCTCCTCCTCTCCTACACATACACACGCACACCCGCACGCACACATGAAATTTGTTATCAACGAAAACGCTACACACGCTCACTCATAATTTTAAGATCATTGTAACTAGACTTAGCTTAATTATGTAAATTAGCTTTAGCCTTATTGAAATAAATAGTTTTTAAAATTTTACTAAAGATTCCTCCGAATAATTTTTAAATCGCCCCACTCGTATCCCGTTCCCTATAACGCCTAAGATTACACGAGGTCCAATCCCAGGTCAAAAGGATTAAGTTCCTTGACCTAAAAAGTTGGGCCAACGCTCGCACTGTCCATTGAAACAGGTGTCATAGCGTCCCTTCAGGACGTTGACTCTCATTCTGGGACTTTAAAATAGTGCGAACGACTCACAGCTGTACGCTTCCGTGCGTATACCTGTGAGATTGAATCAACCGTCCTTCCGTACCCTCTCCATCTTCCTCTCTCCCCAATACTCAGGGTTGGATGTAACAATAAAAAGAATGTTAAGATATATAAACGCAACTAAAAACTGAGGTATTAGTTATAATGCAAATAACAGTAAAGATGCGGAAGAGTTAATAGATTATGCAGACTCTGATTATGCAGAAGATGTAGAGACTCGAAAAAGCACAACCGGTTTCGTTATAATATATTCAGGCGGTCCTATAAATTGGTGCTCTGAAAGGCAATCCCTAATAACATTATCGAGTACAGAAGCAGAGTATATTGCAGCGGCAGAATGTTACAAGGAAATAATCTTGCATCTTGCATCTTAAATACCTAATTGAAGAGTTGACAGGTAAATCAGTTAAAGCAACTTTAAATATCGAGCACCACACATCTGTTTAAGAACGGCATAGGAAACAAAAAAAGCAAACATATCGACGTAAGATATAGATTCATAAATGAAAAAATTTCTGAAAGATTGATAAATGTAAAATATTGTCCAACTGATACACAGCTTGCAGACATTTTTACCAAAGCATTAGGACAGAACAAATTTGAGATTCATAAAAGTAAATTTGTAAACTGAGTCAACAAAATGATCACAGATTTAGTTTTAAGCATTAGTTTTAAAATTTAGTAGTAAGCGTTGGTAAAAGATAGTTTAACAATTAAGAGAAGGTGTAGAGAATAATTGTTCGTTTATGTTAATTTTACGTTGGCGCCATAAGTGTGTGAAACAATGTGGCGCTGTGATCGATGCGTACGCACTCTTAGTTTTCTGTTTGGTCTGCGTCTCTAGTTAGTTATCATCTGTAATAATTTTTTGGTTCAGCTCTACTTCTCTCTCTCTCTCTCTCTCTCTCTCTCTCTCTCTCTCTCTCTCTGTTAACTGCTGCTATAATAAATATTCCGTTAGTTTTATAAAGGAAGAGTATGTATTATTTGAAGACTTCTGACTATCTACAAATGTAAAACCCAACAAATATAAATATAAATCTAATTATATAAATAACGCAAAATCCAAAAAAGTGATTCCCGCCATTTTAGCTCGTTCTTCTTTATCCAAATGCTAAATTAGCTATGCAAAACGATTATCACAAATATTAACTTATACAAAAATAATATAATAATTTACATAACTTAAAACGGAGTCAGATACAATGCGTCAAAAATTAAACTTATACAATAAGAATATAAAAATTTACATAAAATAAAAACGGAATCCAGTACATTGCGTCAAATAATAAAATCACATCGCACATCAAATTGTCAGATGTACTATATAGTCAATCACAAGAAAGAAAACAAAAAGAAAAAACGAATAATTAGAGAATTATTAAAATAATTAATCTGAATTTTAATTATATTAGCTTGCATGTAAGCATATCTTGCGACTCGACGTAAAGGTCTTGTGGTGTCGACAGTCAGTTATGAAATAAGAGTCAAAACAATAAAGTCACTTAGTTATTGAAATGAAAATAAAAATAAAACTAAAACTAAGAACAAAGAGGAGAAACAACGTCAAGATTCCGCAAACAATTCCAAGTATAGTGGGTTTAATGAATACGTATCATTCTGTAAATTCAAACCCTGCCTCTGCTGCTTTACATGAATCTTTTCCGAAATCAATCTTTTATTGAACACCCTTTCCTAAAATCTTTACATTCTCCCAATCAAAATCATGCTGATGACTGACTCTGTGTTCTGTAATTACGGAATGTTGTGTAGTATTCCAATTTATATGTTTATTTATGCGTGTCTTCAAACATCTACCTGTTTGGCCTACATATAATGCTTCACATTCCCGACAATTAATCCTGTATACCACATCTATATGAGATAATTTAGGACGAACATCTTTATGCCCTCTGATGAATATCCCCTAAGATTATTAACACCCCTATAAGCCATTCGTACTAAGGATTCTTTTTAAAAATTTTTTTTATCTTTTCAGACAAAAATGGTATAAAAGGGACTGTAAAAAATCTGTGATTAATTTTATCTTCCTTTTTATCCGTTGTCTCATCTTTAGGTGTATTACACTAGTCATTCCATTATTTAAATTTTTTTGACAACCTATTTTTTATTTTTGAGAATATGAGTTTTAATGAATATCCATTATTTAAAAGAATTTTAATTATTAATTCAAAATTTTCTTGATGGTAAATCGGGTGGGACAAAGAAAGAACTCTATCAATTAAATCAATAATTGTACCCACTTTCTGGCACAAAGGATGTCTAGAAAAATAATTTAAATAACGACCAAAAAAGGTAGATTTGTGGTATCAATTGTGAATCAGAGAATTTTCCTTTTTTATTAGGCTGACATCGAGAAAATTTAATCTGTCCCCGCCTATTTCAGTTGTAAATTTTAACCTGGTATGGAAAGAATTAAAAGTCTTCACCAGTGTGTGACGCATCATATGCTAGCGCAATGTCATCAACATACCTTACATAAAAGGATGGCGAAATTGAAAGACCCTGCAATGCTTTCGTTTCAAGATCTTGCATAACAATGTCAGTTACAATGGGTGACAATGGTGAACCCATCGGTACACCAATCTGTTTATAAAATTTATCATTAAAACTGAAAAATGTTGAATTAAGAACTAATTCCAAGGCTTTAAAAAATTCCCTTTTGGGGATGTTCGTGTTTCTTTCAATGAAATGCCATCTCCTCTCTATGTCTTCAAATACCAAGTCAATAGGAACATTTGTGAATAATGAAACCACGTCAAGAGATAAAAGAACTTCATTATCAGAAATAATCAAGTTAGAAATGTGTTTAGTCAAATGAAAACTCTTCTTGATAAAACTATTAGCTGCTGGTATACTTTTATGTAATATTTTATTTTAAAAAGAGGCCAGATTATGGAGAGGACTCCCCCACTGAAGAAACTATA